GAAATACAAATAAACTTAATATAATAACACAGAGAGCCCAGAACCATATAAACAGAAATATTTGAAGTTGTTTTTTGATAAAGACACTAATGTAATTTGATGGAGAAATATTAGTCTTTAAAAATCTTTAATTTTTATTTTTTGAGAATTTCATACACAAGTACTGTCTTTGCACTATTTCTATCCCTCCTGATCCTCCACCAACTCCTCCCATGTCCCCCACTCCCTCTCAATTTCTTGTCTTATTCTTTGATTATATATATATGTGTGTGTTTTATATATGTACATACATATATATATATATAAAATGCATGATACACTGAGTCCATTTATCCCCCTCATGTGTACCTGTGTTTAGGACTAACCATCTGGGATTAGATATCTAGTAGGGAGCTAGTCTCTGGAGAAACCTGCTTCTCCCTCCCTTAGCGCCCAGCATCTAGTGATTGCGTAGCTCTTCATCTTGAGGTGGGAATCAGTGACATTCCCCATCCATCCACCTTGGTATGTCAGCTGGTTTTGTCATTATGCAGATCTCCTTAGACTACCATACTGTGGAAATTTCATGGGTGAAGCTTCCCTGTCATGTCTAGGATACACTAATATATCAGGTGTCTAGTCCTGATGGCTCTTATGTTCTATTTACCCCGTCTTCCTTGATGTTCCCCAAGCCTTAGGTGTACAGATTGTATTGTAGATGTATCCCTTAAGGCTGGATACCTCACAGTCACTTATTCTCTGCATCTGACAGATGCAGAGTTGTGGAACTTTGTAATAGTCTTCATCTGTTGCAAAAACTAGCTTCTTTGATGAGGGCTGATAAGTACATTTATCTATAAGTATGAGAATGCATATTAGAATACAATAAGAACTTATGTTGGTCTAGGGAAGTGTCAGAAATGAGCTTTTCTCTAGGGTCTATGATCTCTCCATCCATGTGTGCTTGGCAATGTTTACATTACCACACATGATTTCTCTCCCATTGCATAGGCTTTAAGTCCAATTAAACAGCTGTTGTTTACCCCCACGATAAAAGTGCCACTATTCTTCATTAGAGAATTTTGTTGGCCTGGTCTTTATTGTGGCTCATAGACTTTACAGCTGTATAGGATCATTGATTGGTTTTCTCCCTTGGCAGCTTGCATAGTATCTTCTGACACTGTAAGAGATGAAGGTGTCAGAGGGATGAAGCTTGAAGGTCATTTCCAGCTTAACTGCTCCAAACCCTGTGTCCAAAGTATGTTGTGTCTTCAGCATTAGGCTCTTACCTTCAAGTCCTAGGAGGCAATCAAAGGGTGTGTCAATAGCCTATATTATTTTGGGAGTCTCTTAGCTGCCCTGACCTACAACTCAAATCATGCCTGGCACTATGATTTTTGCTAAATAGTTCTCAGTTATATACAGGCACTTGCATTTATATTATTTGAGTAGTTTTCTGTAGACTTATCTAATACCACACTTCCCTTTGGTTTTTCATATCACTTAAGTGTTCCTGTCTCTTCTTTTGGTCACTGTATAACCCTCCTTCTCTCTCCCCAATTTAAGTACCTCCCCCAAACTTTTTCCATTTCCCCCTTGATAACTCCTGTTTCCTGTTATCCCCCTCTCTGGAGCTCCTTCTCCTTTCCTCCCATGGCTATTTTCCATTTTCCTGGTTCCTGAGGTTATATCAGGATATATACCAAAATCTAAGTATTTGAAGCTAAGATCCACAAATGAGAGAGAAGATATATGGCTCATTTTTCTGAGTTTGGGTTACCTAACTTGAGTTACCTCAGTTTCTAGTTCTAACCATTTACCTTCAAAATTCATGATTTTATTTTTCTTTACTTTGGAGTAGAACTCCATACTGTAAATGTGCCACATTTTTATTATCCATTCATCAATTGAAGGATATTTATGTTGTTTCTTTTTCCTTTGCTATCATGAAAAGAACAGCAACAAACATGGCTGAGCAAGTTTCTTTGTAGTAGGATACTGAGTCCTTTGGGTTTATGACAAGGAATAGTATAGTTAGATGGCACAGTAGATCTGTACCAGTTTGCAATGCCACCAGCAGTGAATTGGGTTTTCCGTTTCCCCACACTGTCTCCAGAATTTTTTTGCTGCTTGTTTTCTTGATCTTATCCATTCTGACCAGGGTAGGATGAAATCTTAAAGTTCTTTTAATTTGCATTTCTCTGTTTGCAATTTTATCTACTGAGTCATCTCTATAGTCCTTAAATATCATTTTTTAATAAAAGGAAAATATTTGATTCCAGGCCCGAGAAAGGAAATTTTAATTTCAGAATTAAAAGTTTAAAAGAGAGAGAGAAAAAATGACTGACATGATCTTTTCTCTTGGAAAAGAGAAAGCTTGGGAAAAACTAACCCCAAAGGAGCAGCCAGGGAGTCCCACCAAATAAGAATGGAATGATTTTGCCTCATCCCATAAGCTTTCGAACTTAAGCTCAGCTGACTGGTGTAGGCCATTTCATTTTCTGATGATACAATGTTCAGTGGAAGAACTGGAACTTTTGAAGGGAAAGTGCAGGCAGGTAGTTAGGCCCTGTTAACGTTTAACTTCTGCCACTCCAGCTTAGTATAGTATCAGTGTGATGCTCTTTCCTCAAAGCCTCTTAACTTCACCTTTGCTCTTTATCACCTCAGACTTATGAGGATCTGCTCTTCAATGAAATATCTATAACTAGTGAGACTTTGCCAGCATGGGGTTGATTTGTGTCAGTGTTAAGTTCTATGTCATAGGAAATGAGGGACAAGAACTATACAACAGGAAAGGATAGGAGGTAGTGGACTTTATCCATAAACAAGTTCCTTCTCGAGAAATGACATTGATAAAGAAGCACAGGCCCCCACAGGATATATCTTTATATGATTCAATCCCAGCTAAGACAATGGGAGTCTCTTGGGAATTTGAAACAAAATGGAAAGTTTGAGGTGTGAGAATTGAAGGAGTAAGAACTTCCAGGATTGTCTTCTGTCCTTCCTGAAGATTGGATCCCGCCTGCACGTGCTTCCTCTATCTGCTCCAGCAAATTGCCACAGACCCACAGACTGGATGGTTGAGAACAGTGAAAGCTCTTTCCCTCACAGCTGACCAGCACAGATATTAGCTCAGCACCAAGGCTCTGGGAGAATCTCCCTGTACCTTACCTCCCTCCTGGCTTCCTTGAGGGCTACACCTCTTCCATTTCTGTCTGTCATCTTACCATCTTCTCTTCGTGCTCATGTGTGTCTCTTATAAAAATCCTTGTCATCAGAATTAGGGCCCAACTGGATAACCCAGGGGGAATCTCTTCATCTTAAAATTCTTAATCTGATTATATCAACATTCACCTTTTTTTCTTTATAAGGTAGTATCCACATGTTCCCAGGATAAACATACTGATTTGAGGACCATTTTCAGCCCAATCAATATACCATCCTTCCATTTAGTCCTTTCTGAATTTAAAAAAAAATGAAGTAGCAGTTTCTATTTGTTTGCATCCAAAAGTATTTAGCTTGGCCTCTCAATGTCAGTGGCAGCAGTTGCAAACGATTTGTGCCATCTACATACTAAACCTGACTACAGAAATTTTCCAATTTTGGTGTAAGAAGAATTGTTTTGGAGCCTATTAAAAATGCAGATTTCTGTCCTCATCCACAGAGCTTTTCAACAGTGTGGTCCTAGAATCTGCATCTTAAATAACTCCTAGATATTTGTGGTGATCAAAGAAGAATAGGCAAATCGTAAGTGCTTAGGCCCATTAATGTCCCATTCAAATAAAAACAAGAGGAAAAGAATTGAAAAATAATTTGAAAACTTTAATGATGTTATTTATATAGTAAGACCATAAAATCTTTTAAATAAGGTACATTCAATTTCTCAGAGCATCTAATATTCAGATAATTTATAGTTCACACACTTTCCAACATTAAACAACTGACTATATAATGCATTTTTTTCTATAAATGATATTACAGCTTATACAGATAAAATTATATTATGAAAACATTCTACACTGGAAAACTGGCAGTACCTATTAGAAAATCCTAAAAGTTTCTATTAAAAATATATTTTGTCTCTTTAATTTGTCGTAATAATAAAAAGAATAATTTTTCTTTCCAAAATTATGTGTTATACCATTTTTCACTAAGATGATAATATGTACAAATCTTATATCTGAATGAATATAAATAGCAATACTGTAATAGTCTTACAGATATATTAGTAACGTTTACAAAAAAAATACGGCTTTCTAATAAAAGCCTCTAACACAACTGAAATCTCAAAGCTATTTAAGTTAGACATTCCCATATGTGGAAAGATGCAATGGAGTCTAGATTTTATTACTATTATTATTATTTCCAGTTAAATTACTGCAAGCAGTAATAAGAGAAAATATAGTCATAGATATTGGGCGAGATCTGACAGCTGGATAAACTATTTGGGATTTATTGAACTTTGGGAGAGATATTAGCTTTTTTTCCATATCATGGTTTCTTTTAGTGCCCTGCAGCAAAGTCAGTCATTTTTGGTGTAAGAAATAAAACCTGGTGGTTCATTTTCAAAATAAAAGTACCGTGAGAAAGCTTAGGTCCAGCTATGGATGAACAGGAAACCCTAAGCTAGCTAAGCTAGCTACTCTCACCCAAACTCTGCTAGTCCCACACAAACCCAAACTAGAAGTCCAAAGTCGAATATTACTAACAGTCAAGTTTGCCTAATGACCTACAGAAGTGAGAAGAACTTGTGCCTGATAAACTTTAAACAGGATGTAAAAGGGAGAGATGAACCTGTACATGGTCATTGTTGTGAGACAGACAAACAAGCATCAGAGAGAAAGATGGGACCTAGGAAGATGTGGAAGACTGTATTCTGATTACTCAGCCAAGGGAGGAAGGGACCTGTGTTTAGGGTTGTAAGAAATATTATCTGTGCTCAATCACTGTGCCTGCCATTTTGGGCTGGCATCTGGCTTTGTAGTCTTAAGAAAAACTGCCTTGTTTTTGCTACCTGGAATATCCATTGCTGTTAATTCGGAGTGGGTCAGCTGGGGTAGGGATGAGGGATGAGGGGTGGCGGGTGTTTTCATTCCTCACAGTTGATGTGAAAGAAATTGCTGTGCTCCTTCAAGTGCCTGAGAAAGTCTGCTTTTCCATCAGATATGGCCCATTCTGAAGAAACAGTCCAATGACCATTTCTGGTTATAAGCAGCTTATTTTCACTGAATGGACTTGATTCCCTATCATTTCCAAAAATAACTTCTGATACAGTCTGTACATAGTGAAGCTGTGCAAGAATCTGATGGTCTTCCTCAGACTGTGAGTGACAGTTTTGGGAAAGTGGTATGTTTTCAAGTGCTTGAGTGCATGCATCAGGCCCTTCAAGGTGTCTTGGTCACCATTTTTGATTCTCCACAAGCTGAGTAGCTTCAGGAGCTGCTCACTTGATTGGCATGTCTTTCTGGTTCTTTCAATGTCTTCAGTCCCAACCTTCTTCCCTGGTAAGCTCTCCATCAAGCTCTGAAGCTGCTCGAAGGTCAGGTTTGCATGTCCAATGTGCCGTTGCACACTGTTCTCGCAGAGGTCAATATCTGTATGCAACAAAAGTCCAAAGAGATGGTTATATCATTCCAAATCATCTGATGTCATTATACAACCAGTGTGAGACAAACACCTTTACACAATGTTGTAACTTCATGCTAAAGACAAGCTTTCCTGTTTTTCCTTTGCTGACTTAAATGACATTATTTCTGAGAACTAAAATGTTATTTTATGCTATATGGGGTAACATGCTGTCTATTCTAGGTGTCTAGCCAATGTTTTATGAGAAGCCCCTACTTTTGAAAGTTAACAGTAGAAAAGTACAGTCATCAACTCAGTTTTCCAAGCAAAGTTTATGACTTTAAAACCACCACATTTCAGGAAAACAGAAATGAAGTATTCGAGTTAGTTATTTTGTAATGTAAATTTCATGTGTTGATAGCTAACACAGACCCCATTTGAGAGGGGTCACTTTAACTAGTCTTTAATAAACATAGCACTGGAGAAGCACTCGTAACTGGAATCCAAGGAACAGGAGAATACACATAGCCTGGAGGGCATTTCAGCAAAGCTTGGGCATAGACATAAGAGGGAGTAACTAATGTTTCTATTAACGACATGAGTCATTTAGTATCTGTGAGCCTTAAGGCAAGTCAGTTCATCTTTCTGGGCTGCAATGTTCTCATTTATAAACCAGGGAATTGGATTCCTTCCTGTTCTGACAGTTTCTGACTTTCTATTTCTTTCTTTTTGCTTCAGGGCTAATTACAGGCTCAAAGAATATATATATGTATATATACTTTTTTTTTGCCAGAAACATCAAAAAGTTTACTCTGCACGAGTGAAGGCAGTGGAGTGTTAAAAGGGGGTTAGATTCCTAAATTCCACTGCTCTACCATCCCATGTGTGAAGTTTTATGGGGAGTGTAGGAAAACTCAACCAGGCATTATGGAAGAGCACTGTCTATGCTATAAAAACTCTCCTCCATTTCTGTGCCATGTCTTCCAAGTGGTAACTAAAATCAGAACTCTCAGCACTTAATATCATGAAGCTTATAGTTCATGCAGGCTGAAGTTCATTTCCTTCTCTTTGGGCCTCCCCTTTCCTTCTCTTCCCTTTTACCCATTCTTCAGAAATCTCTAAAACATAAGAGTATTCAGTTTTAGCCAGACCTTTCTTCCAACAGTCTCACACATTTATCAGGCCTTATTAATCCTCACCAGAAATGCTACTAAATGGTAATTTGGATGCAGGCTATCTGGTGAGGGTCAATGAGCTATTCTCTGTAAGACACTTAGTGCCTCCCTTGAAGAGAATTTCAAACACAGTGGAACATGAAATATGAAGCAAGAGTTAAGTGACAAAGATTTTCCCCCTAGATAGGCCTCAGTATAGGCAGAGGAAGGAGCTGAGGACTAGAGGGGCAGAGCCCCTCTGGCTGTGTCCTGGATATGAAGTACATGGCTCTTCCTTTACTCAGAGCACTTTGAAAAGAAATTGGGGCCGAAGGGAGAATGAAATCTTGCCTGTCTGCTACAGGAATAGCATTTATATTCTCGCTTGGTGAGAAATTCCAAGTCCCATGATGATTCCAAAGGGGAAATTCCACCCACTGCACAGGTGCACAGGTTCCTACTTGATGGAAATAGACATCTTTGGTTGCTGATTGACCCATTTACTGCAGGAGACCATACCTTGGATAATCCTCTTCACCATATCTTGGTCTTTGTTTTGATGCTTCCACAGCTTCAGCAACTGGAAAGTTTGTTCTTGCGAGCTGTGTCTTCGTTTTATTCTCTCTATGCTCTCTGAATTTACTTTGGTCCCAGGCAAACTGTCCACCAGAACACTGAGCCAATTCGGTGTAAACTTTGTAGGAACAGCAAACCTGAAGAAAGCCTCTTCACACAGGGTGATGTCTAAAGGGAAGTGAAAAGAACAAGATTTACTGAACACTTGAATTTCTGGCAGCCTTTGGAATGAAAACAAACAACAATACAACAACAACAAAAGAGAGTATCGTTGAGTTTTCCATGAGCCATTGTACTAAAATGGGAGGTTTAACAAAACCCCCTGCTGTTACTCTCAGAGGCAGAAACCAACTGTGCCTGTGTGTTGAGATTTTTGCTTTTTAAAAATTTTTATTTAGAATCAGTGTCAGCTTCCTCTCAAAGGCTTCTAGATAGGGGGAGAAAACAAATTTATCTATCATTTTAGAACAATGGCGGGTTGTCTCCCTTAGGTACAGGGGGGGACTACAGTATTAGAGACCAAGATTTGAAGTCTTACATCTGAGCAGCACTAACTGGTTAGGAACAAAATCATCAATGAGAAATAATTGTCTAAATAACTTTTTACATGGATTTAAGCCTAATGTCTGGGAAGTGTAAGCCCTTGAACACTTACATAAATATACTGATGACTTTACTCTTTGGTTATACTTTCCTTTTGGGTATTTAAGACCATAAAGTTGGCCCAAATAAATCAATTTATTTTTACACTTAGGTCATTTGAGTATCTGTTCCTCAGGGTTCATATGGGTTTGGGAGAAGTTCCTGGCTCCTTCCTTTTACCTGTTCCATCTATGTGAAGATAAGTCAAAGGTCCTGCTTGACCATGTCTGGCTTCACTTGGAAACATGAATAAGGTGTTTCCTCTGGGTTGACCCTTCTCTTTGTAGACTGGACACTGGTTCAAGTCTATCTTGTGGGGTCTTCATGTCCTCCCTGAACAAGAGGACAGGTGACTCACCACAGTTACAGGATATTTTAAGAGATGTTCCAATTTTATTTATTATTTTTGTTTCATGACTATGAGTGTATTGCCTCATGTATGTAAATGTACCCATGTCATACATTGTCCATGGAGGTCAGAAGAGGGGATCAGATCCCCTGAAACTGGAGCTATGGATTGTTGTTAGCCACCATGTGGGTGCTGGGAACCAAACCAGGGTCCTCTGCAAGAACAACCTGTGTTTTTAGTGACTGATCATCTTTCCAGCCCCTAGATTTTCTCTTTTACTTTGACATTTTGGGGGAAATGAGCCAATTAGTAAATGTTTAGTCAATATTTACTAAACATACACACAAATTAATAGACAAAATTCTGTAATTGCATCGAAATATCAGTACTTAGATGTTTATTAGTGATTACAGTGTACTTCAAGGTCACTGTAAGAAATAACAAAACACAAACAAAAATCACTGCCTAATGGTGATGCATGCCTTTAATCCTAGCACTTGGGAGACAGGGGCAGGTGGATCTTTGTGAGTTTGAGGACAGAGTGGTCTACATAGTGAGTTCCAGGACAACTGGGGCTACAGGGAGACCCTGTCTCAAAAAGACAAAAAAAAACAAAACAAAACAAAAAAACATTGCCTAAAAGAACTTAAACAGCAATCTTGAATAGTATATTATTTTAAGCACATGTGGCAAACACATGGCTTATATATAGAAACAGGATGCTTCTGTGCAGTACAAAAATATGTTTAGGGAAAGTCAAGGTGATTTGTGCCATTGTTTGACTAAGAGGCATATCACCATTCATGTGTGAGACCTGCAGTTAAGTGTAGGAGGGACAGAGTGTGAGCTTGTACTAACCTGATCAATGTCATCAACAGGGAATGGTTTGACCTTCCTTCTCGTGACCATGACCAAATAAAAAATTTAACACAACCAGAGAAATGTAGAATTTCCACAAAAGAAATCCATGGATATCACTGGTAACAAAGGCAAGTTTACATTTCTAATTTCTCATCAATTATGTCATTTTGGTTCTTAGCTGCCAATTTATACTTTAACAAGAAAGAATACAGCCATTTTTAGAAGTCATAAAAATACAGAATTTAATTTTACAATGTGAAGTCTGCTAATTTGGGCTTAAGCAATAAACTCGATACCATCAATGGGTAAGACTTGATTTGAGTGTGAAAAGCAGCGAAGAAATTTGGGGGCTTGAGATGCCCTGTTATTCAAGTGAAGAGGAAGACTGAGACATTGTTGAGTTGGTGCTTCAGCAACTGTTATACCAGGTAAGAGTGGAGAAAGGCAGAACGTGACTTTGTATCCCTTTCGGAAGATGATACAATGAAATGGTACGAAGGCAGTATAATTTGGTGTATAGTTACCTATTCCGCATTTTTGTGTTGATTCTCTGTTTCCAGAACATGTGTTGTCATGTGAGGCATTTCCTTTCTGAGTTAACAAGAGACCAAGGGCACTGCAGTTAGTGTGTTTCCTACAGGGGGCTTTCGATGACGTCTCATTTGAGAAGAACCCATCTGGACATCTTTTGCAAACTGTATTTCGCTCTGGGGTTCCTGCAGAAAATACCAATCAATTTAGCACCGTCTCAAATTCTTTCCCTGCAAATACCCTCTTAACATAGTTTTGGACAGACTTTCACTCAGCTTTTACTGCTGCTATTATATTGCAGGAAACTGTAGACATTTTCATTTTTCACTTCATTAGACAGAGAGAGCAAAACTTCTACTTTCAGCCCCTTAGGCAGACTCCCCTTCTTGTAATACCAATGCAAGTCTGTTTTGCTGTTACCTACAAAATGCTCCTGAAATGTGAGAGGAAAAGAGAAGACTGGGGCATTCATTAGTCTTCCTCTGCTGAAGTGGCAGTAAGGCTTGTCAATCGTATTCCTCGCACAATTATTCCTGGAAAATCATCACGATAACGGCTGTGTGTCTGCTTTAATATCATTCCTTGAAATCAGCACCCAGTGAATGCTGCATCATTAAATTCCAATCAGTTCCTACCAAAGTTCTTTCTTTCCTAACTCCTAATTGTGAAACACGCTAACCTTGAGAATTGTACAATGTAGTAAACTTTGTAAGGTGGCAGTAAAGTTGATGGCTGACTCCCAAGTATAAGCCTGAAGTTGAGCTACATAGTAAATAGATGTTACGCCATTGGCTTAAACTGTTGAATAAAGAACATAGTCTGCAAGACTTTAGAAAGGATAACTGCAAGGGCATTTCACTTCCTGCTTTTATCGTAGTTAATAAATTTGGAGACATCACTGGTAGGAAAACTCAAACCCAGTTTAAGAGAGTTTCAGTAGAGATGCTGTTGAAAATAAATATCTTCAAACCCTTGACTCTATTATGCATGGATACAGCACACATTTGCATATGAAAATATCTCCATCTAGTGTAAGCTAGTTGAACAGATTTAGACTTCAGCATTCAAATGTAGATTGCACAGGCCAATTCTGGCTCATGCAAGATAAGAAATACAAAAGAGACAAATGAAAGCTACAGAAAGTTATTAAACTTCATTTATTAAAAATTTCAACCTCCTACTTCATTGTATCTTTTTACCAACCACCCCAAAAGTAGCAAAATGGATTGGTTCTACTTTCATCTCCTGGCTCTTCCTTCATAAAAAGAATGATGATTCATTGACCTGTAAAAATGACAAAGAGCTGGCAGAGAGGAGGGGGAGGGGAAACCACAGTTCGATGTTTCACATATTAAATGCTATTTTGAGCTCTGCAGTGACATTGTCTTAGGAACCGCCTTCACAAAACAAAGAGGATTTGTGTTTTGTTAGCCAATGTGCTTTCTTGCTACATCCCTCTCTTTAAATGTAGTCCAACTCCAGATGAAATTTTATAATATCCTAAGCAGAAACATTTAGGCAGAAGTCCCACCCCATCCCGCCACTGGGAATACATGACCTCAGTGTGGGGACCCAAGAGCTCTTTTGCCAATTGCCACGTGTTCTACATAGAAAGGAGCTTTGTCACTCTTCCCACACGTATTGGTTACCTGAGTCTCCTGGTGTCTCCTAAGAACGTCATATGCATAAAATCATCTTTTAGATAAGTTGGCCTTTCAAATTCTTCAACAAGAGGAACCCAAGAATGACAGTTGTAAAGTTTTGAATTCTATTGGGGGCTCCATCTAATAACATTTCTGAATAGGACTTTTTGTTTTATAATTGAAAAAAAACATTTTTTTTTTTTTTGGTCTTTTTGAGACAGGGTCTCCCTGTAGCCCCAGCTGTCCTGGAACTCACTATGTACACCAGGCTGTCCTTAAACGCACAGAGATCCGCCTGCCTCTGCCTCCTGAGTGCTGGGACTAAAGGCGTGTGCCCCCACACCTAAAAAAGAATCAATCTAATCAATGATTTTGCCTTATTAGTATCAGTGGAATATAAAACTTATAACCTGGCAGGCAAAATGTGAACTACTGTAACAATAGGAGGAATAGTAATTTACTGTGCTGGCCCTAAGTAAGTCCATGGGAAGGAGAGGGCTGGCTAACAGAATGCTATAAAGAGGAAGAGGAGGCAATCCTGGCTTCAAAGTAGCAAGAACAGCAAAAATGGCTATTAAATATTCTTTAGAAGTATACCACATAACCCTTCCATCTCTTTGGGCTGGAAACCTCTTATTTGCCATGCAGAACCACCTTGTGGGTTGTTAGGGAGACAAACGTAAATGAACCCCACTGAGGTACCACAGAATAAAATGTGGACCTTCGTTCTTGGTCTTTTGGTTGCCCGCTTACCTCATTCTATAAACAGATTTTCATGCTTATGAGGGAAACAAACTTGCTATTTCTGTTATTTTCCAAAATTTTCAATTTTGCTAGCTTCATGGTCCACGCTTAATTTCTGTATAGAGGACTTACTGCACTGGAGTTAAGTGGATTTTGTTTTGCTGGGTGGGTTTTTCTCCTTTACCAATTCTCTTAGTATTTAAGGCTGAAAGTATTTAAAAATAGGTAATACCCTGTCAAATACTCATCCTAGAGATATTACAATAGATAGTCTCTCCTGCAGTGAACACCCTTTTAAGTTTCCCTACCTCAGAGACTGAAGAAATATTAAGTTTCTGTTTTTGAGTTTTGTTTGTTTGTTTAGATGCTTTGAGAAAATATTTTAGTATGTAGCCTCATCTGACCTGGAACTCACTATGAAACCTTGGTTAGCCTCAAACTTGTGAGCTTCCTACTTCTCCCTGAGATGGGGCTGCAGACCTGTGCCAGTATACCTGGCTTTAATTTTGTATATGCTTCATTGTTTTTTTCTTTTTTATATTTTCATATACATTTATTAGCTTCCATATGATCTAAATCAAGAGGCTAGTTATTTTGTTGGAGTTTGACTTTCAATGTAGTGTTCAGCTTTAATACAGTGAATTTGCTTCAATAATATCATTATCAAGTTAATTAAAATCACATTAAACTCATTATATACATAAAAATATTGTCACTTTTGTACCTCAAAAGTTTAAATCTCCAACTTATAACAAGAACCATCAATGCCAGATTTCCTATTTTTTGTTATTCAAATATGAGTCAGGTAGCAATGAAAACAAAAACTCCAATTAGGCACTTTCTTGGAGTGCCCAAAACACTGTTAATGTTTGGTAAGTGTAGTATAATAGAATATTTTAAAAGACATCACTGATTTTTTTTTTTTTACCATAAACCTGAATTTTATTTTCACTGAAAAAGATCACCTTTACCCAAACTGTGGTCTGGCTCTTGCACAACATCTGCCTACTCCTTGCCAGATGCACGGAACTTGCTGCTGGAGGAGTTGCAGTTCATGGACCATGCAGCACTTGGGGCAGTGGAAGAGTTGCCTTTTGAAGTTTATTTGAAAGCAAGATTAACCTTATGGATACTTCTCTCTCTGCCTCAGATTCTTACAGGCCTTACCTGGAAGGGCCCCAGGGGGACCATTCACATGGTCTTGTTCTGGCACTCCATCTTTACAGAGTGTAGTCAATGGCTATCGCTTCACTTATTGGACGTTTCATTATCCATGTATATGCTCCCTTTGTATGCCTTCAGACCCAAAGTACTTGCTATATAAAGTTGAAATTGTTATAAACAATCAGCATGCACTAGGCAACGGTTTCTCAACCAGGAGCAAATTTGCCTGCCACAATGGAGGGTGGACTGCTGTTGGCAGTTAGTGGCTAGAGGCCAGAGAGGCTGCTGAGCATTGCACACTGCACAGGACCACCTCCCACAGAAAAGACAAATCCAGCCCAAAATGTTCAGTGTTGAAGTTGCAGAATCCTGCCTCAGAACTTACACTGATTGATTAGTCTTTCCTCCAGCTAAGTAACTACTCCTAATTTTCCTAAGCCACAGGAAGTCATAGTCTATTCTGAAACTTTGTGCATGCAGCAGAAAACAAATATATGTTTGTCTAAGATAAAGAATAACCTGGTTAGAGGGTTGACTGTCTTTATCCTCTCAGACATTCAACTCCCAGGCCTAAAGAACTAGCTTTATTTTTAATAATGAAAACCATCCCCATTTTTTACATCATTAATTATAACTGCTCATTGTTAGCACTCCAGAGTCTCATTAATATCAGCAAAATTACTCTCTTGGTATCGATTATAATTTCTGATGTTTGTCAAAAAGCACAGCAGTCTGAAGCTGTCCACGCTGGAGTGAAACACCCCAGTACCCACAGTGCAGCTCAGAGTATGGTCCTTTAAAGAGAAGCAATCCATCATGCATCTCATTAGGGAACAATTTGCTGCATTTGAGATTCCTCACTAAATTACCTGGTAGTAGCAAAGCATTCCTCTGAGAAAGGTCCTTTGGAAGCAATCCAGACACGCAGTGCACTGCTAACAGGTCCCATTACCTGTGTATCAGGACAAGTGTCCCCTGAAACTTTCACTGCTGTCCAGTTTTGTGTGAACCTAATTGATTATTTTGTGCATTAGAAGCAGATACATACCAGCCTGCAGCACTCCAAAGCCAGGGGCACAGTGTTTATGTTTCAGGCAGAACTCCAGCTCCAGGTAGCGCCCCTCCTCACATTCGCACACTCGGTTGTGGGTGCCATTGCACTCCTGCTTCACATACTGCAACTCCTTGCACACTGGGCTGCAGTACAGACACTCGTCACTGGTGTGCCAGCTGTCTGTGTAGGAGCGGTCGGGGCAAGGGAGGCACAGTGTCTTCCTCCTCGCTGTACAGTGCTGTTTTAGGTAGGTGCCAGGAGAACATTTGTCACACATGAGCTGACGACCAGTTTCTGGGTCATAATGAAGGTACTTTGGAGGAAAGACTTCCTGGATGCTCCATTTAATGATGTCTAAGAACTAGAAGGAGACACAATGGCAAATTAACATGGTGGTGGTTCTTGACAAAGGTAGTATTTGAGTCAAAAGTCCTGTACTATTTAATCCTAATGCCATTCCTGAGAGACACAACACAAGCTCAGAAGCCCTAAGGTTTGCTTCCGATGACTTATGTCCAATAACCAAGAACATAGACAGCAACAAACATACCAAGTGAATGAAGATTCACAGATTATTGTAGTAAAAAATATCCTCAGAATAGCCCTAATTACATTTTTGGCAGTGCTGAATAACCATGTGGTCTGGAAAACACTTCATCTCCCTAGGATTATACCTGGATAAGTATGTGGATGAACTGATCACTCTCACAATAGCTACATAAAAGTCACCAAGATGCCTCATTAAAAATATAGACCTAAAAAAAAATGTAGACCTCAAAACCTGTACCCTTAAGCACTGTGATTCCATTGATGGGCTTGGGAATAAAAAATAAAAATAAAATAATAAGAAAATTCTTGTATTGATTTTCATGCCTGGAGAGAACATACTAAGAATTACTTTTTCTTATTGACTTGACTCTGTTCTAAGCACTTCAGATACAATCCTGAATAAACTAGTTAAAAAACTCTGGCCTTGTGGAGTTTCCAGTCCAATCAGAGAGGAAAATATATACAGTGAAATCGGATGGAATTTTAGAAGAATTATTTATTTTATTCTATTTTTTTAAATGTGTATGAGTGCATTGCCTACATATATGTAAGTGTACCAGTGTCACTCAGTGACCACGGAGGTCAGAAGAAGGTATCCGATTTCCTGGAACTGGAGTTACAGATGGTAGCTGTAAGAGCAGACAGAGCTCTTAACCATGGAACCATCTCTCCAGCCCTCCTATATTATTAAAAATAGAAAATCAGGTAATGGAAAGGGAAACATGGAGGGGCAAGTGGGGAGAGTGTAATTGTAAAATGGGGGTCACAATAGTTGCACTGAGGACAAGATTATAGCTCTTTTAGTTTCCTTAATTAGTACTTATTGATTAAAGACAAATTGGAATAAAGAGCTGGTGATGTGGGAAGGTATCTAATTTTCACCACCCTCCACAGCCTTTGTTCATTCATTCATGCTCTAGATCTGTGCAGAATATCTACCAGGAGTCCAACATGAGGAATGCGCCCGTGAGTCACAGCTGGGAATGGTCTCTGTAAGCTTATAATCCACTAGGAAGAGTCCTAAAATTCTAAGATTGACATTTTCTCCAAAGATCAAGTGGGCTGGCAAGCTTGACTTGCATAGATGAAACAGGTCTAGAACATTAAACAGCTAACTGTTGCTGGATTAGTTGGGGGAAAATATCAGGGAGTAGGCAAGGTTTCAGAAGTTGCCATTCATCTGGTAAGAAAAAAAAATCCGGGTAGCAGGAGAGAAACTCCACCAGGCAAGGAAGGATGCCTTTCAGAGGGCAGTTGCACATAGCTCTCTGTCCCCCTATCTCTATCCCCACGGGTCTTCGGGGATTCTTGAGGAAGTTCTTTACACTAATTACAGGAAACATTCTCAGAAGAAGCAGTGTTATGTGTGTGCAGGGGGTGGCTTGCTTGGTTTTGGGTGTTTGTTTTTGGTACAGGGAATCAACACTGACTGTTTACAGGTTTAGGGAAGGTTGCAAACCAAACACATTACTTTTTCAAAACGCTCTTGTTTTTAGAGTTCAGGAAATGTTGCAGAACCTCTTGACCTGGGAAAAGCATGCAACTCCAGGGAAATAACCACACTCTGGTAAATCATAGGCGTCAGAGATAAAGAACAGCCTTTTTTCATGAACATTAGCTATTTTAGTCTAAGTAACTTCATTCTTTTCTTAGTGGAGTATGGCATGTCTGTGAGACCCACCTAATTTGAGCTGATGAACTAAAAGCAAAGAACAAAACATCTCATCCAACAAAGATACTGTGTAAAATACAATGCAGAGTCAGGGCTACCAGTTCAGTGGTCTTTTCTGGACACCCCAAGACTTGAGGAGTTCTGAAGAAAGCATGTTCTTTAAACTCCCTGTGGCTAATTATAGGCTTGAAGGAAACAAAGTAGGATGGAATGACTGCCTAGCTAGGAGTTCATTTGAATATGCTATGGGACAAGTTTCAAGCCTCCTGCTACCTGGACCAATCATTTCCCAAATCCCCAGTGCTATGGAGTAAGGTTCTCCTAACATAACTTGCAGACCCATGAAAGCAGTGAGACAAGATTTTATTTTCTCTCTTGCTGTTCACTTTAGATTTCCTGGGAAGCCGCTGTCTACTTTCAAGAGGTCTGGCTCAGCGATCCAGAGACGCTTTTTATCTCAAGTGCTGCTGCTAAGTGGACGGTGGCAGCACTGGGTCACATCCAAGCCACACTCCTCATCATTGCCCTGCGCTTGTGTACACAGGGGTCAAGAAGACTCATTTGTTCATCAGCATTGACCCTTTCCTCCCCTACATAAATGTAATGAGGATTTGATGGAAAGGAAAAACAAGAGCAACAACAGCTGCTAACATGCATGTGTTTCACCGGAAAGGGCCACCAGAAGGTTAACAGCTGAGCAGTCCCAATCTGGAAATTCAAAAATCTGAAATGCTCCAAAATCCAAAACATTCTGAGCATCTTACAAGTTCTCTTGAAGTTCTGGATTTTAGAGAGTCTGGGACTTGGACTTTTTGATTGGGGATTCACCACTGATAAAGGATATGCAAACACTCTCAAATCTTTTCAAAAAATCAAAATCTGAAGAACTTTGTGTGCAGATAGCTTCAGAGCAGGAATTCAGCACAGACCACGAAGGAACTATGCTTACTGGTTTGCTTCCCTGATCTGTGCTCAGCCTGCTTTCTTATACAACCCTGGACCACCTGCCCAGGGTGACATCACCCACAGTAGGTTAGGCCCTCTCATATCACTCAATTCAGAAAATGCCCCACAGATACGACCACAGGCTAATCCAATGGAGGAAATTCCCCAGATGAGAGTCCCTCTTTTCAAATGTGTCAGGCTAACAATTGAAGCTATCCAGCACACTTCAGGTCCTAAGTCTTTTGGCCATAGGTCACTCCAGCTATATAGCCAAGAATGCCAAAACAGTTCATGTTTTTCTATGTAATTGGCATGATACTGTTTTCCTAAAACTAAACATTGGAAAGTAATTATTTCTTTAAGATTCAGGGAAATTGGGGTGAATAGAATTCAGCAAGAAAAATAAAACAAGGTGTATATTTAGGGATTAGAAATTAATTAGTGGAGGTAATTTGCTCAAGACTGCCGTGTGGAATTATATACATTTTTCACAATCAGAAGGCCTTTGAGGAGCTATAGACTTGTTTTTATCAAGTTCAATTGGACCACTGTGTTCTACTTGAAAAGAAATTTTCCGCTTCAGCAAAAAATCACAGAGCTCTGTGTGGCCAAAATTGGATCGTTAAGTCTCAATCTTTGGTTAGCCCCAGTTCCCACACAGAATTTCTGGGCTCAGTTGCTGGACAGAGGATGGGCAAGATTAACAGAACTTTTCTTCTCAGGCCTTTCTCTCACTTCCTTTTACAATTCTTGGAAAAGCAATGACAGAGATATGGTCTTAACATTATCTATTGCTCCTTTGCCTGCTGATAAGATTTCAAAACCTAGTAAGGGTGTAAAAACAATTTTCTGTGTAATATGACCTTCAGAGAGCCCTAATGAACATGCACAGTGGCCAGGATGCACACAAAGGTGTGTCTGCAGAATCATAAAGTGGTTTTTCTAGAAGAGGTCACCCTTTTTGTGTTTCACTTATAAAAATATTAAGTGGAACGTTTTCTACATTTTTTCCTACATTTTTGTTCTTCTCCCATTTTTGTATATCATTATTTGGTCCAATCACTTGGACTTGAAGGGAATCTGAAAGTCTTTCAATTCAGTGCTTCTCAGCAGTCTGAGATTTCTATTTGAAGCCTCCATACTACTTTTCTTGAAAGAACAATTAAGGTTCCATCTCTAATAGCTTTTTTTCTCTCCTTCCATTTTTAAGGTTGTTACAGTATTAAAGAATTTTCTGTTTCAAGCCTATCCATCTTTTTTCATGTTAAAATGCTAACAGAAGATGGAGCTAGGGAAGATGGCAGGTGGACTAAGGTAGTGGTTCTGTATTGTCTCTTCTAGCTCTACCCTTGCACTATTTGTGGGTTTGACAATTTAATCAGCAGAGAACTTGTAAATAAGTATATTGCTTTAACCCACTCAAACTTCTTGCTTTACTTTATTGCTGCAATCACTTGATATGCGGACCTCTTTGTAACCGTTTCCACGTTTAGGCTCACTCATGCCTTCCTCTGAAAGGACAAGTGATTTGACCAGAGCATTCTACTGGTTTGTGTAACTTCCTTAAGGACAAAAGAAGAATGCACTTCCTCTGGCGAGTTTATTTTTACATTATGCAATGCAGCCAGTCCCATACTACTGAGCTTGCTCTCCAGTATCCAGAACCATGAATGACCCAGTGGGTTTCTGTTTATGGAAGATTCATTAAAGTGAGCCCACGCAGAGCCTGAAATAGACACTTGGTTTGGGAGTTCCTTTTGTAATCCCTCGTCATGATCTTTGCCATGAGAACTATTTGAGGACTGTCCAGAGTTAGCTAAATGTCTGGTCAGTTTGTAAACCATGCTGTTTCTGTTCATCTTAGCCGTGAAAGGAAACATCCAGGGCACATACCATTGTGAGTTTCCTGAAGATTGCTTGTAGTATGAATTATAAAAATTATTAAAAAATAAATCATTTTCCCAGTTTATTTAATTTTTCAGTTTTAGTCTTTTGTAGTACCCCTTTCTCTCCACTCCTTAATTAGTTTATTCATTCAGCAAACATTTATTGAAGTAATCACTATTCTCTGGAAATATGGTTAAGTGGGGGAGTCAATATCAGCCCAACCCAATGTAAATGTCCATCAACCACTCACTGACAAAAACTGGAGGCAGAAAGGAAAAGAATCAAGACTCAGAAAATGATTCAACAGA